TTTTTTTTTTTTTAAATAGAATTTCAATATATTGGAGACTTAATTTGATGATTTAATGCAGTGTGACCTTTAGATTAAAAATTGGCTCTAGTATTTAATGAATTCCACTATTAATTCAATAGTCAAAGTCCTAAAATTTTGTACTACTTATAATATTCTTTAACTTTTAAATACGTTTCACACATGCGACATGTCTGAATTTGTATTTGATATATTGAGATCATTTTGTAATTTTACTTAGTTTTGTTGGGTTATTTTACTATCGTATAGAATTGATAGTCGTTAAGTAAAAAATATTGGCTCGGAAATGGAAGATTGATACCATGTGTTTTTTTATATGGAAATAGTTTTTTTTTTTTATGGCATTGACTTGCAGCGCTATAATAAACTAGTAGACAATAATTAATTGCAAATGAAAATAATTAGTCCGGGTGAACTATAAATGAGTCATTCGAAGATAAAAACTCATCAGGGTCAATTGTAAAGGACAATAATTAAACATATTTTGAATAAAAAGTTATAATTATTTTTATTTTTTTTGTCTGTTTGTTGTCGTTGTATTTACGTTTTCAAACTTTTATGTTTAATGAACTTTTAAGTATCAATTGTTTTTTTCTCAAAGGTTATTGATAATAATGGATTTAAGTCCGAGTTCCTCTAGAGCCCAACGCTCTCTGGGCTACAAAAGGTGGCCAAAGTAGCTCATCCAGACAACATTTATTGGGCTCGAACTGAACTGCAATCCAGTTTCAGAGAAGCTCGATGCTGACAAGCTTAGTATAGGTACGAGCTCAAGAGATGGGAGTACGCCACCGAGCCAATTTGCAAAAGCTGTAGTATGACACGTGGCTAGGGGGATAAGAGAACACTATCTGATAGTTCTGATGAACAAAAACCCACACATAGTAGAGAAGAATCACGTACTGCAGTCGACAAATAGTGAATGCCGAAAGGCGTCAAGGACCACAGCTCTAGGACAAAGACAAACACAGAGTAAACAATAAAATCAGCCAAAAGGGACCAACATGAAATCCTAACTACTAGTTGTTTAAATAGCTAACTGTGCTTACAAAGAGAACCATTTGAAAACTACCAAGTAAAATCTAGGCAATATTGCTTTAAGTAAAACACCTTGTAACAACAATCTTCTTTCCCAAGCAATTTAATTTCTAAGGAACAAGGGCCTCCTCCTTTATAATGGACGTAACTTTAGTCTTTCGGCTAAGGTAAACCACTTTCATCGTTATCGTCTTCTTGCATTATACACATAGCATACACGCACACTCACACTCTCGTACACACACATGCTGGGCCACATCTCAAGTTGTTCTGCAGTCCAATCCGGTTGATTTCGAGCACTATGAGGTATCAAATATGATTTTAGTAAATGAGTTATCAACTTTTTTGATTAATTGAAAAAAAAAATAGAACTTATTAATGTGCCCTGAACGTGGAAGACAAATTTATTGCAAGTAGATATTCCTGTTACAAGAAAGAAATAGAGGCACATTTAATGGAAATTCAGTGTAATTTATCTCACAAGTTTTATTTAAAACAGTCATGCTGGAGCTTGAACCTCTTATGAAATTTATCCACGATCAATTAATCAAAGCTTGTGCTCAGGATGCTTATGACCAGAAATGGAAGATGACTCTCCCTCCTCAAGAGCCTTAGGAGTGATTTCTGCAGATTTTGCATGCGTACCTGCACCAACCTTCTCATTCTTCCTAATCTCTTCTTCAACATGAACATCATCCTCCATTGATAGCACCACAGCTTCTGCTCCATGCGGACCTTGTACAGCAGCCTCCTTGATCCTCATATGTTCGTCGACACGTACAATATCGGTTTCTTGAATAGTCTTCTTCTTCTTCCAGATCTTCTTGCCAAAGCAACAGAGAGCAATCAAAAGGAATGCAAGGAAGAAAAGACCACCGAATGCCACGATCACGATGATTATGATAGCTGAATGGTGGCCTGGTGGGGATGGAGGCGGTGGTGGAAGGAGGTGAGGAGGAGGTGGTGGTGGAAGAGGATGAGATGGGGGTGTTGGAGGGGGCAAATATTGGAAGGTGACGTCAGGAGAAGACATTTTGAATAATGTTGTGGACTTGTGAAGATTTGTGGCTGAGTTGATGGGAGGAAGGCTTTTTTAGGTGCTTTTGTAGTGGGGATTTTGATTACAATGCTTTAAAGTTTTCACAGACTTTCTTATTAAGGATTAGAGTCCTCTTCTTTTGATTGCATTGGAAAACACTTCTCCAAAATTTCCCTTGTTTGTCTTGAGAAGCTTGTTTTTTTTTTTATACCGTAAGTTAGGGAGAGTTGATGGGGATTAATGATGTGGTACTATTAGGGTATGTGTGTGCTTCATTGGCCTCTTAATACCATTTGATTGACAATGTTAAACTGTTTGTTTTACTCAATAGCTTGATAATTATCTAGTGCGTGTGAAATTGGGATTCAATCGAGTGCTTTAGAGGTCCAAGTAGTAGAAAATGGTACTGTTACAACACAGGTATTGGCAAGGACGGACCTATGAATAGGCCTACATGGTGGAAGTAATCACATGGACGAGTGCTGCCCTTATTGAAGAAGACACTTGTTTTGATGATTCTAATGACGGTAGACAAAAAAAACAAATAGAATTTTCAAAATCAAGTTGCAAATATGGATTATATCAAAAGTAACATGATTTATTTTTACTATAGTAACAAGCAAAATAATAATTTATGAGAATAATTTATTTATAACCATAAAATTATATTATACGTAAGAAAAAAGAGGATATTGGCATTGTCACACTAATTTTTAAGAAAATACTATTTAAACTTAATTTACTGACTCTAACAATAGAGTCACTATTAATCTAATGACATAATAATCTGGTCAACAAATTACATCTAATTACTCTTATTTTTTATTATGGTACAAACCTATTTTTATAATGACATTGTATAAAATTAATTTTAATTAGTTTTTTTATAAATTGATATTTGTCATTAACTATAATCATTGAATAATACCTTTGGACAATTTTTTTGACTATACCATCATTTTGGGCTCTTCGAGATAAAATTCTAATTTCGATATCGGATAGGAAGTCAACTTAGATGCTCAAACAAATATCTTTTTTTGTACAACCATTTTTATGACTAGTCTCATCATTGCTAAGCATTTCATTTGTAAATGCATTCGCAAATGTCTCTCTAACCATAGCTGCAACTTCGCCGCTATTTGCACAAACATTGGCACTAAATACCCAAGACATAGATGACTTCCAATTGTTTAGATGACCTCCAATTGTTTAGATGACCATGACTAAGTGGCTACATTGTACATTTATGTTGCATTTGAAGCACACATCCACCATTAAATATAGAATAATGGCTGATCAAATAGTCATCATTCACAATAATGTGAGCCATCAATCACAAAAATAGCCAAGGAACGATGGACATAGTTGGCTTATATCATATAGAATCATCATCATCCACAATAATGTAAGCCATCATGCACAAAAATGCATAAGTAACAATGAGCATAGTTCTTCTCTTATCACAGCATCTAAGAGGTGATAATATCATAGCCTCAACCCCATCATTGTTATTTGCATTTGCTTTCTTATCAGCCAGGCTAAAGTTCTGAAGTTCAGTTCCACCGGTTGCTATATTTTCATCCTACCAAGTCAATGTTTCCAATCCTGTGAAATTTGAAATTCAGCTAATACGATTTCTTCCAATTGATTCAACTTCCTTAGTCTGAAGGCGGAACTGTTTTGATTTCTTATTTCCTATATATTGTAATTGTAGGTAATTCAGCAGTGATTCTCTCAGTTATGTTGAATTCTGCAACTTAATGAGCAAAATAAGCAGTGCCACCAATGGAAGTAGAGGTCCTGAGTTGGATTCTCCCCTTTTCCACACAAGTAAATACTAGTGGTTTTTTTTTCATTCTCTCTTTTGTTTTGACAATCTTTCTTATATAGCTGAAACATCTGAAATTCAATCAACTATCACCTTTGGTGCAAGGAAATTGAATCGACTTGAAACCACCAACAACCATCCAATGCAATCATTGAATTTTGCTAACCATCAATGGAAGGACGAGTCGTACTTGGCAATCTCCGTCCACGCACGAATGAACTGAACAGATGCAAAGCTCTTGATGGCTGTGCATAGGGCACCATATGAGCAGCACCCCTTACAGTAGCAAAAGTTAATAGATTTCCATACTCTGTTGCCCAACCTCCCACCTATTTGTGGAAATGTTAATAATTAAACACTACAGAAGGTGTATTCCACTTCGAAAATGTACTCTCTTATCGAAGTAACACAGAAATAAAGATCAATAAAATACCTGTCCTTTGTGAAACCAAGCTCCATAAGGTACTGTCATCTTGAACCCCAGATCATGAGCCAGTTCACGGACAAGAGTCCTCGAACCGAGTAATGGTACAATAGAATCTTGATCCCCACTACATTGGCATTTTAACCCCATTAATACCACTTAAAAGGGAAAAAAAAAATTTGCTTTTGATAAAAAATTTGCATTCTTATAGGGTACTTGGAAGTTTACCTGAAAATCCAAACAGGGATATGATTCTGGATTATCCTTTTAAGCAAGGGAAGAATGTTGATCTTGCCATCAGTGTCACTGTATCTCAGATGACTGTCGAATGGGAAATAGGATGAAAATCAGTCGTTTCATTTATGCAACTGGCAATGCTTAACTTTGATATGTCAATGTAGCTTGATCGGCAAGCCTAAAAAAGATCTATAAGCCGGAGATATCATTATAAGCATTAAGACACTGTGATTCAAAGCCTAAATTCAAATGCTAAAATGAAGAGCAATTGTTTATCCAATATAAGTTCATTCCCAGAAATTTCAACTTGTCAAACCACTGAAAATTTGGTGTGGAATCATTACTGATATGAATGACATTCAAGCAAAACATATCATAAACTTTAAGTTCTTTTTAAACTGTTCAATTTTGATAATGTCAAGCAAGTTAGTTGAATTGATACCTCAAGAAGGCATCACCAACTTCTAGAAACAGGATAAAAGAGGACATTTAACAGGTGGAAGGACAAGAGTTCTCAAGTCACTGTAGTTTTCACTAATGCTTGAATAGATGTTTTTTTGATTAGGAAAAAAAAAAAAAAAAAAAATTGCTTACAGTGCTGAGGCTGACTTACTCACTGCACATTGACCAGCTAAATGGTAAATTGGTCCTATTTGCATGAAGAGCTTTCTGAACCTCAGGTAGATTAAAATAGAAACACGTTTCATAGGTCATGCACACATCCACTCCAAAACTAATCTTAGTAGCCTGCAATTGCAAAGTTTAAGGATTATAAAATAAAGTTTTGTAGAAATAGTTAGAGAAAAGAGAGGGAAAATATACCATTTTTCGCAATCGCAGCTCTTGTTGTACTATGGATGGATAGCATACATCAAGCATCACATCATAATTGTTTATATAACCACCAACTATGTGATTTGCTTCAAACATGGCATGGTTACATGCATGGGATACGTTGTGTGGACTGCCAAAAGTATAATCGTCAAAATTGCACTCATTCATTATTGCAAGGCCGATTTCATCAGAAATCAGTCCATGTGACCAAAAAAACTCGTATGTTGCTGGAACATCACGATCAAGTTTGAGTAGCGGATTCCCAATCTAACCAAATAAGACAAATGTACAGGATTAAAGAAACGAATGAAGAACCAGAAATAGAGCATTCAGTTAGAAGTGCCAGATGACTCGGGTTCTCTTACAGCAACTCCTTTGATGTTGAACTTGACACCAGTCGAATGTGCATTGTGGTCCAAAAGAACAACAGATAACTGTGGAATGTAATGCCCTACATGACAAACATAGACATGTATATCAAACTTCAGACTGTTGTTTACACATAGGTAAACAGGAGCAAAATCAGAACAAAGTTACTATGGCATTAAGGATAATTAAGATTGGCTAGACTTATGCACAGTTGTCTTTCATCTAGCAAAACTAACTTTATATACCTTACACATTATAAAACTTTATGGTTGAAGTATCCTAAATGGATAGTTCAACATTTTTACAATGCCAGAATAGATAGCAATCCAAAGAATAAATTGTAATTCCCACTACATTTTTATGTTGATTGGCAAAATCTCAAAATATCGAGGCTCCAATTTTCATGGTAGAAAATTGAAGACCACTTTAGCTAAATTATTGAAGCACAGTCACAACTTCAAACCGAATGTGTTAAAATCATTTTTAAGCAACAGAGAATCTAATCCAAAGTGCAGCAACATCAGTTTTGGAGTGTTCTCTAATACACTATTTCACAAGCAAAGTTTACGACCAGACTTGAGACTTAAGTCACTAGTTTTCCTACCTGCATAGCTTTCTCCTGTGAGAAACAAGTCTCTAGATTTAAATTCTGGAAACTTCTCATACCAATTCAGCATGAATGTATGCATATCCCTGGCTGCCAAAAACAAGAGATTAAGCATGGATTGCATTAAAATACACAAAGCTTTTTGATATATCCTATATAGTCACACTCGACTCTGTATATCGCATTGGTGAATTTCACTCCTAGCACCATTTATCGTCAAAGCTTGTCCCTTCAAATGAATCTATTGAGAAACTAAGCCTGGTTGTGACTTGTGAGTTTTGGCCTTCTGGGCTGTTCTCTTACCAGTGGATGCATCACCACAAGTATAATCTGAAGATGTATTTGAGTACGACCATCCTACTCCAGCTGGAGACTCGACAAAGAGGAGATTTGATGCTAAAAAAAAAAAAAAAAGAACCTTTATAAGTAAATGGAAATTACTCATATCAAAACAATTCTACATTTTGTCTTGGTTTTTCTTAGTTTTCTACTTATTGGGCATACCTTTATTCCATGATTTTGAATTTCTTTGTAGGCCTCGGCCATCACCTCTAGGGAAGAATGGACCCAACTCTGTGAAGGCACCTCCACCAATTGATGAACAACCTGGGCCTGAACGCAAAAGATAGAGTAAACATGAAATCTCTGTGTGGTTTGAAGACAAGTTAAAAAGAAACAGAGAAAAACATTTTGGACCGTACACTTCTGCCAACTTCACAGAAAATATAAACAATTCAACAACTCTGTCCATGAAAAACAATGGTTACTAGTGGCAATGCCTTTATCAATGTAACAGTTCCAGTTGTTGAAAAATCTGTTTTTTTTTTAATGCAACCATATTCTTTTTAGGTCTCGGTGTCTAATATATAGATAGATAAAATCACCAAAAATGGATTTTTTAGGTTTTTGCTACACCCAAGAATGGTGTCTTAACTTAGATGTAGCAGAAGATGATCATCAAATGTTTCTTTGTGCTATATATCTCAAGATTAAAAAACTATTTTATAATAGTATGTAAAAATTTCTCTGAAGATCTTGATGCTGTTGAGCTGCAGATTCATCCCAATTTGCACCTGATAGATTGAGAAAAGGTCATGGATTCGACTTCCATACCGAAAGAGGTATAGTGCCAAAGTTTATAAGTTTTATGGGTTTTAATACAAGTGTTTGGGTTTTGTTTATAACAAAACAAAAATTAGGATTAATCTTAAAATGTTAGGATCAATTTTAAAAAATTTGCAACTTTGGGTCATGTTATAACTTTTAGGTTTCATCCCAAAAATTTGTACATGGCAGTACGGCAATGTCGTCCCCCCCCCCCCCCCGGGGGTGGGTACCAGAGGCTTCTCCAAGGTTATATATGATGTTTCTTACATTTTCACTCCTTGTTTGGGAGCAGAGCATAAGAGGGATAAGTTTGCATGTTAAAACTTATTAGTGCATAACATAAGCCATCAATGAAAGTGTAAACGGAACAATGACAAATTCCCTTGAAAAGAACACAAACAAGGGAATTTTAATGAATATTCAGCACAGCAAAAGAAAGGAGGCAGCAGTAAGCAACCTTAATGTTTAGCAGGAAAGAGAAATCACTAAATACAAAACTAGTGATCAACATAAACTCAGAATCCAGTAATGTAACTGACTGTGTGTGTGTGTGTGAGAGAGAGAGAGAGAAAGAGAGAGTAGCTGTTTATATCTGCTTTAACATCAAAGTTTAGCCAAGAAAAACCAACCTCCATTAAGCCAGAGAGTGAGGGGCTTCTGATGAGGGTCCTCCTCAGCTTCAACAAAGTAGTAAAACAAACTCCTCCCAGCCTTCACATCCACATCAACATAACCAGCATATTGTCTGAACTCAACCTTCGGTTGACCAGGCAACCTCACTACCAGATCCTCCTCTGCGTACCCATTTCCACCACACACCAACCCCACAACCACCAAGCAACAAAACCACCACATACCCATGAGTGAGAGAGATTCTCTACAGAGAACCCACAAGTTATCCATGCACTCACTGTTTCTCTCTCAGAATTTTCCCAGTGCATATAAAAATAGAAGAAACCAACCTATAGCAAGAGAAGGGAAGGGAAAAGAATTATACATAATGAATTATGTTTAGAGATGGCACATGAAATCTGGGTTATTTAACAAAAAGGTATATTTTGAAGAATTAAATTAATGACACTTTTCCACGTACATGCATCTCACTAATGATTATGTGGAGAGAGGAAGAGAGAGAAACGTGAAGAAGTTGCAGGTTTCAGCTGGGGAAGTAAAGTTGTGTTAGGTGGCTTTGGCAGCTTTACTGGCTTTTAGTATCCAGTTACTCGGAGAAAGAGAGATATCTGAGAGAGAGAAAGACAGCAGTAGAAGCAGTAGCCAGTAGGTGCTGGGAACTGTGAAACAGTAGGTGCTGTAGAGATCCGCTGGGCATCTTTCAAAAGCTAATACAGATAAGAGCGAATTTCACTTTATACTTTTGCGAGCTTTAGTGTTATTATATGGTTGAATAGCGAGACATAGTTCTTGCTGTCTACTTATTACTTAATTTGATTGATATTTTATGTGTGTACTATTTTTTAGAGTATAATTTCGATTCGATTTATACAACAGCCTTTAACATTTGTATATAATTTTAATGAACATCACCTATCAAGTGGTATTATTCGCTAATATAAATTTATCAGCGATACAAACAAAAAAAATGACACAAATACGCTCCTACATAAAGTTCACGTATTAAAAATTTATTTTAAATTTTTTTCTCGTATTTTGTTTAAGCGTATGGTATCATCATTTTTTTTCTAATTTTTTTTAAAAAAAAATATTTTGGTTTTTTTCCTTAAATTATGTTTAAAAGTATGGTGTCACCAGTTTTTTTAAAAAAAATTATTTTAAATTTTTTTTCTTGTAGTATGTTCAAGCATACGATGTCACCAATTTTTTTTAAAAAAATTATTTTGAATTTTTTTCATGTATTATATTTAAGCGTACAGTGTCACTGGTTTTTTTTTTTTTAATTTTTTTTTCAGTGTCATCAATTCATAGTATCATATTCTTTATTTTTTATGTGAATTGTTTACATTATTCGTAATTTTTTGGGTATGGATTGTCGTACCATATATTATACAAAACATTGTGTAAAAGCGTTACACAAATAGAGTAATAAAATGGATGATGTTAAGGATAAAATTGTATATTTGTTATACAAGATATGACAGAATATATAGTTGTTTGTAAGATTCACCATAGTACATATTGAACAAACAAACATGGGAGGGGATTGAAATATTTTCTTTTACCGGTACTAATTTTCATTGGTATTGGAAATGTAAGGAATATATTTCTTAATTTCATGCATAGTAATACTCAAAACAAACATGCCCTAAAGATTTTAAGATTTTTAATTTAAAATTTTAAAATTAAATTTTTTATATTGTACAATTAATGTATTTTTTTATATTATACTAATAAGGTATTAAAAGTATTAAAATATGACCCTTCTGTTAGGTTTTTCGTTAGTGTTAATGAGTTAACTCTTGATCAAAAAATTAAAAAAAAAATGTCACATTATAACAAATTTAATATATTAAAGGTGTAATATAAAAAATTTAATCTTTAAAAATATAAAATAAAAACTTTAAAATTTTTCAGAGGACAAAATATTAAAAAACTATAGGTAAAGCAAGCTCCAACTATAGGACAAAATAATTTCTTAAGTCATACCTTTTTATTTTTTCTTTTAACAAAAGTAAAAATTATTTGTTTTATTATTTCACTAATTATTGCCCCGTACCTGAATGTATAGAGTAATAAAAAATTGTGAATTATAAACATATTTGTATTTATACTCAAAATCAAAATACAAACATATATGATAGATAAAAGAATTTAAACACCTGTTATAATGGGAGTGAACAGTGGTGGTAGTGATGGGCAACAGTGATAATGGTGAAAGACGATGATGGTTGTGGTGGACGTCGACGATTGTGGTAGTGGTGGCAATCGTGAGTGCCAACAATGATGGTGGTGGTGGATTTTTTATAATAATAGTGATAGTAACAGCCACGAGTGACGACAATAGTGATAGGTGACGATGATGTTGATTGGCAGTGGTGGAGCGACGAGGTGGTAGATGGTGACGATGGGCAACAGTGATAGCAATTGGTGGTGGGTGGTCACAATGACAGTGGCAATGGTTGTGGTAGAGGTGGTGGTGGTAGTGGTGGTGGTGGTAGTGGTGGTTGCAGCGGCGACAGAGGTGGTGATGGTTAGCGGTGGTGGTAAGGGTTAAGCAGAGGCGGTGGTGGTAGGGTTATGGTAACGGTGATGGTAGTGATAATGGTGGGGGGACGAGTGCCAATGGTTGTAGCGGTGGCGATGATGAGGGTGGTGGTGGTGGTGGCAAAGATGGTGGTGGTTGTGGCAAAAATAGTGGTGGGGNGTTTTTTTTTTTTTAATTTTTTTTTCAGTGTCATCAATTCATAGTATCATATTCTTTATTTTTTATGTGAATTGTTTACATTATTCGTAATTTTTTGGGTATGGATTGTCGTACCATATATTATACAAAACATTGTGTAAAAGCGTTACACAAATAGAGTAATAAAATGGATGATGTTAAGGATAAAATTGTATATTTGTTATACAAGATATGACAGAATATATAGTTGTTTGTAAGATTCACCATAGTACATATTGAACAAACAAACATGGGAGGGGATTGAAATATTTTCTTTTACCGGTACTAATTTTCATTGGTATTGGAAATGTAAGGAATATATTTCTTAATTTCATGCATAGTAATACTCAAAACAAACATGCCCTAAAGATTTTAAGATTTTTAATTTAAAATTTTAAAATTAAATTTTTTATATTGTACAATTAATGTATTTTTTTATATTATACTAATAAGGTATTAAAAGTATTAAAATATGACCCTTCTGTTAGGTTTTTCGTTAGTGTTAATGAGTTAACTCTTGATCAAAAAATTAAAAAAAAAATGTCACATTATAACAAATTTAATATATTAAAGGTGTAATATAAAAAATTTAATCTTTAAAAATATAAAATAAAAACTTTAAAATTTTTCAGAGGACAAAATATTAAAAAACTATAGGTAAAGCAAGCTCCAACTATAGGACAAAATAATTTCTTAAGTCATACCTTTTTATTTTTTCTTTTAACAAAAGTAAAAATTATTTGTTTTATTATTTCACTAATTATTGCCCCGTACCTGAATGTATAGAGTAATAAAAAATTGTGAATTATAAACATATTTGTATTTATACTCAAAATCAAAATACAAACATATATGATAGATAAAAGAATTTAAACACCTGTTATAATGGGAGTGAACAGTGGTGGTAGTGATGGGCAACAGTGATAATGGTGAAAGACGATGATGGTTGTGGTGGACGTCGACGATTGTGGTAGTGGTGGCAATCGTGAGTGCCAACAATGATGGTGGTGGTGGATTTTTTATAATAATAGTGATAGTAACAGCCACGAGTGACGACAATAGTGATAGGTGACGATGATGTTGATTGGCAGTGGTGGAGCGACGAGGTGGTAGATGGTGACGATGGGCAACAGTGATAGCAATTGGTGGTGGGTGGTCACAATGACAGTGGCAATGGTTGTGGTAGAGGTGGTGGTGGTAGTGGTGGTGGTGGTAGTGGTGGTTGCAGCGGCGACAGAGGTGGTGATGGTTAGCGGTGGTGGTAAGGGTTAAGCAGAGGCGGTGGTGGTAGGGTTATGGTAACGGTGATGGTAGTGATAATGGTGGGGGGACGAGTGCCAATGGTTGTAGCGGTGGCGATGATGAGGGTGGTGGTGGTGGTGGCAAAGATGGTGGTGGTTGTGGCAAAAATAGTGGTGGGGCAGCGATGACGGTGGCGGTGGTGGTGGGGGTGGTGGTGGGACAGATTAAAACACTAGTTTATATTTTCTAAAGTGTTTATAAGAAGCATTTTTGAAAAGTCATTGTAAACACACATTTTGGGGAACTATTTTTGCTATTAAATTTGAGGATTTAATATTAGCAGTCGGATTAACTTTAAAATGATCTAGACCACGAAAAATAAAAGTCATTTTATTTATCTTTTAAGATTTAAATTGTATTATATTTTATTATATAGATTTTAACTTTTTTTTGTTTATCATAAATAGATGAAAAGAAACATTTTAGTACCATAGTATTTTCAGGTAAGACATGTGCACCCTTTATGTTTTCGGCTAAATCCATTACTTTTCGAAGAATATCTTTGATCAACGGTATTTGGAGAGAATATACAATATTGGGAGATGTCTACGTACATAAAAGTGATTAAAAATTGAAAGACTAGGCTTGAGCCTAGTTCATGGATTGAGTTCAAATCATCAAAAGGTAAGTTAGGCTTATCGCATGACCTCGGTCCAATCCAAAGTATAAAAAGAGTCAACTCACGTGGGAGAATAATTAGCGGAATAGTTATTACTCCAAGAGAGTGTCTATCCTCAATTGTAACTATCTTCCTCGATAAATTAGTAGTTTGACATTTACACTATCGTCTCAATTAAAGCTCTGTGTTAAAAATTATAAACCCCCTACACACACGAGGGTAGAGATCTCTCACACACCAGACCCTGAACTTATATTTGTTTTCTTTCTCTCTCTCTCACCTACTATTTTATTCTCTCATTAATAAAATCTTCGGCCACCATCGCCACTTTCAGTGATTAGGTTACCTCGGCCCAACCACTCAATCTTTGTCTTTTACTATTAATTGCTTTATTAATTGATTTGTATTATACACTCGACTGTTTGATTGTGCATATTTATTTCGTTCATCATCAATAATAATATATTTTAGTTGGATGTATTCTAATAAATTAAAAAAAAAACTCTATGTTGTACGTTTTTATTGGAGTGAATTCTAATACATGAAATACCCACCACTTGCCATTATTTTGAGCATAATTAGGTCAAGACTCATAAATTATTGCAGCCCAAATGACATGTTTTTGGCACATCCACCCCCGCTCCCTCCCCAAAAAATAAAATAACTTTTCCTCAAAATATTTTAGTGATCGAAGATTACATCTCTTCTATTTAATGAATTATCTCTTCTCTTTTTTTATATATATATATATAATTGTACAAGTGCTTTTAATTATTTTCTGCAAGATAGTAATATGTGCTTTAATCAAAAAATATATTTTGCTATTTCAAACAATTAATTTTTTAACAAGACGAGGGATGATCTCAACTATATGTCGTAAAAAAAATGAAAGATACAATAATTTTAGCATGACATTGCGAGTGAGATTTAAAAGAACATTGTGTTTCACTTTCATAACTAATTGGGTTGAAATGCTTTCTGAAAAAAAAATTTATTGATTTTTTTAATATTTTGTTTAGACAAAAAAAAAAAAAAACTGGTTTTATATAATAATTTAGTCATAAATCTTAATTAATATATTTTATTGGGCCTAAAGTTTTATTGTATCAATTTAAGAAATTTTTTTAGTAGTATTTTGAACCCCTCCCCCTCCCCC